GTATCCCTCACAATCAGCATACAGAGGTTGGTCGGCAGCTTTTAGAACATCCTGAAATCTCTCAGTCAAACCTTCATCCACATAAGGTTGATAAAATGTCGGATTTTCATCCGCATCTGGTTGATACGAGGTTGAGGCTTCAGGGGGGTCGTTAGGTGGTTGTGGGGGATTGAACTGAGACATCGGTACACCGTATGCGTCATATACCATTTGTTGGTCCCACCTCATTTCAGCACGGTCTCCCCACGCACTCATCTCTGGAGGGACGTAACGAGACGAACCTACCGTTTGTGGTATAACAGATGGATCCAAAGGTTCGCCGTGAGAAGTCCAATTATAATAATTGGGAACAAAACCGACCGCGTACAAATCATACCCAACTTCGTGTGGGTCTTTAAATTTGAGATTTTTACACTTTGAACATGGACATCTTATTTTATCACCACTCATATAAGCCGGATGTTCAAGTGCAAATTCAATAAATTCCCCGACTCCCTCGAGAAAATTTGATTGCATTCCGTACAATACCGCATCTTTATCATACATCCAACTTCTATTTTGTTTATACATTATGCCTGAATATTATAATAAAAAAGTATACACGTTCAAATACTAACAATAATACTAACAAATTTTAAGTGAGTTATTTCACTAAATAATCAACTAACTAATTTTCACTAAATTAAATGAAATGCACACAATTCACAACAATAATTCACAAAATATAAGTAATTACCTAATACTTAAATTTAACTAATATTACAAAAAAATTAAGTAATTTATTAACACTACATTTAAATTAAACATACGTTTAACTAAATTTAACTAAATAAATTAGTTAACGAAATTAAATTAAACATACGTTTAACTAAATTTACCTAATACGTTTAACTAAATTTAACTAGTTCATTCCGTCCTCTTTTAATGCATCACTACGTTTAAACCTGCGTTTAGCTAACGAATTTTAATTAAATTATTTTTGTAAACCTACATTTAAACCTAAACTAAATTATTACGTTAATGACATTTAATGTTATTAGTACTACACAATTAACAATTCCAATTCACTAAATTAAATAATATGACCAAATTAAACCCAATAATTTGAACATGTATATAAGGTCATTTGAATTAATAAATAATACACAATTACAATAACAAGTCACAATACACTTAATTAACACATTACTAACGTACGTTTAACTAACTAATTTCAATTAACATAAAGATCACTACGTTTAAAACTACGTTTAGCTAACTAATTTTAATTAAATTATTTTATAAACCTAACAGTTTAACTAATTTTATGACATTACTACGCTTACAGTTGAATATGTTGTTAATTAATTAACAACATCACTAATTTAATAGTTTTAATAATTTAAATTGAACCAACTAATTCTGAATAAAAATAATAATTCAAATAACATACCTTAACTGCATAAATGGGGAAAATGATAGAAGACAGACTACATCCTTCGATCTTTCAAACAGATACTGTATATACTGGGAATGAATTGGTGTGGTTCTGTTGAATGAACTGCTCCTGCATATATAAAAAATTTAGTCACGGACTTAGTCACGGATTTGTCCGTCACTAAGCAATACCGTGTCCATTACGCGTCCGATCCGTGTTAATGACGTGTAAATGACGTGTAAATCAAAGTAGTCACGGACATAGTCACGGACATGTCCGTGACTAAATTTATCCGTACATAATACCGTTGCCGGATTGATTTATGGGAGATGCAAAATTATTTTTTAAATTTAGTCACGGCTGTAGTCACGGATGTGGCCGTGACTATGTCGCCGGAGTAAAACAAGCCAGGCCGGAAAATCAAACGGGCAATCAGAGGATGTTAGTCACGGACAAAAATCCGTGACTACGTGTAGTCACGGCACTAGTCACGGTAAAATCCGTGACTAATTTTTTTTTTAAATTTTCGTGACTAGTCCGTGACTAGTCCGTGACTAGGCTAGTCACGGACCAAATCCGTGACTACGGTCCGTGACTAAACGAGTGTTTTTTTGTAGTGGTGTGGCTAAAGATAAAGTTAATTACTCAATGCTTTTTTTTATAATTATTACGAAGTATTAGTATTAAACATTTAGATATTGAGATTTCAGAACCCGCATAAAGATCTGTGGAATAAAAAAACTAAAGATTTATTCAGAACCCAAATGTCATAAAAAATTGATGTCTAGAATCAAATAACCTCGTTGTTTTATAAAATTTTATCATCTTTCTTTATTTGATTGTTGGATTTCTTTTTATCACTTCCATTTAGAGTAATATATGTGGCTAAAGTTATTTACCATTCCTCTATACAAATCATAAATATACATTTTCATTTTCTTGTTTCATGTATAAATCATATTCCTCTATAAGTCAATTTTGATCATATTTTATGTGGCGGGGGAGGTAATAAATGATGATTATCTTGACGAGAATATTAAATGAGTGTTTGTGTTTACTTATACTTTTAATGAGTGATTAATGTTAGAGATTATATGAAAAATGGCTAATGATAGATGTTGACATTATTTGAAAAATATTTTCGAAAAGCAAAAGTAAAAGTTTGAAAAAAAGAACAACTTTATAATAGAAAACAATAAGAAACGTGAAACAAGAGTTTAAATAAAACTTCATTCTATATGCTTCCGCTTTTCAGCTTTTAATTTTAAAATATAAAATTGAAGTAGAAACACTAATTTAAACCTTTATTCTTAATACTTTAAATGATAAAAGCTTTTAAACGTTTTCTAAAGTAATGGAAACACTCCTTAAAGTTCAACAGCTAGGAATGATGAGGTTTTTATTATGAAACAAAAATGCACAAAGATAAAGCAACATGGAAAAGAAGAAACGAAGAGGCGTGCACGGGAATCATGCATGGTTTGAATTAATGAATCAAATCACATGTTATTCACTGTCGGTCATGTTGTTGGAGCACGGACCAGGACGAAACGTGCTGTCCGTGCTAATTACTACTATTACGCGTCTTCCGACTCATCTAATTTATCTTATTAGCTTGGTTAAAGTGAACAATAAATCAAATTCCCCTTAAATTTGGATTTTATTTAGTAAATTTAGTTTTTTCCTGCATTTCAGTATTTTTAATATTTTCGCTCAGGATAATCGTTTTAATTAGATCTTAACTTTTATTATCATACATTTTTGTCAATTTGTTTGTGAATAATTACGACTTAAATTAAATGTCAAACAATTTGATCTGAAAATAAAAAACGGAATTTATAATTTTTTATTGTACTTCGAACTTATTTTTGAAAAAAATTGAAAGATGTAAGAACTAAGAAACCATTTTACCTATGATGATATCTTAATATTAACATTTAGATCTACTCAATAAAAAAAACCTAAAAACCTTAAATGTTGAAAATTTAATTTCAGCTAAACAAGAGACAAAGTAATACAATAACTCAATGCTAGGCTGGGTGAGATAAATTCGCTAACCCCGCATCATGGTAGACTATATAACAGCATCGCTGGACTTGCTACTAAAATGGGAGATAACTAAACAAGAATTCTTTAAATAAAAACACCTACAGGAAGAGAGAAGAGGTTTGTTCATTCACTTCCAAAGGAAGCATTCCGATTTAATTTTACCAGCAACCGGGTAAACTTTTTTCATTTTTTTGTAGCCCAGGAACCCCGCCCCCTCCCCACCTAGGGCAGCCCCTGTTTTGATTGTGACTATTTGTTGGATAATCGATACACATATCCTATAACTAAGGAGAGATTGAACAAGAGTGGATAAGAAATGATGAAAGTGTATAGAATGAATTAATATTGGTTGTGGTTTACAAGCCTCCCATAAGGAGTATATATAGAGAAAATCTGGGTCTGGGCCTCTAATATGGGCCTGACAGACCCGGTTACATAAATGGACTGATATTATAAAAAGCTAATCTAGAACATCTTAATAATAATAATGTACAATAATATGAATCCGCTAAACGTGTGTGGGCCGCTGTCCAGACCCAGTAGTCAGCAGACCAGGGGATCGGAGTCCATATACTCCATCAGGAGTCCCCCACTCCCTGAGTCGAGAGTACTTGAGGCGAAAGGGAGTAGTCCAAACTGTAGCTGCAACGTTCTTCTGTCTTTGGTTTCTTCCTCTTCGGCCGGGGGACCACCACCCCTGTCAATGATGGGGAGGTGCCTCGCTAAAAACATTTACTAGGAAAAAACCGAGTGGGAAAAAATCCTAATAAAGGGAAAAAGAGTACACCTAGCGCCCCCAACAAAAAACAAGGAAGGTAAGTCCCCTCCGGCATAATCAATCTAGCTTAACTCATCTTCAATCGACTCAGCTCTTGTTCCTGCTAATGTGTGATATTTTCTGCTCTTCTAGAAACTATGACCCCTCAATCCCCCAATCCCCACTCTTTGAGGCGAGTGGAGACAAGGTGAAAATGAGTAAAGTCATCTCTGTAGCTACACATTTATCATACATATAAAATCTTTTTCTTGGGATTTATGTTTCCTATCGGGAGTTCGTTATTCGAAACAAGTGGAGATGTGAATTGTTAATGTAATGATTAAATACTTAGTAGAATGGATGTGTGAGCCATTCGTAAGCAACGGTCGCCACTCGAGGAATGACTAAGACCGGTCTTCGTGCCCGACTTGGTCGGGGCTTTGTGCCTGAGGAGTCAGGGCTTTAAATCCTAGTGATGGGTCTCAAGCCGCACTCTACTAGGCATTTGATCATAAGTGCGTGCTAGTGTGACATTAATCCGACAAAAAATATTGATTAAAATAAATATAAATAACATTAAAAATTAAAGATACTTATCTTTTTGAAGTGGGCTAAAATATTGGACTGTGTAGGCTGATAAAGAAATTGGGCCTTTATTCCCAATTGGGCTGCTCCAGCAGATTTGGACCATCCTCCACTGCGTCAAATTTGAATTTTGAACAGATCAGCCTCCCCTAGCACAATATATGCCCATACTGACAGGTTTGACAACTTTCATTTTTGGCAAAGGGAACAGCCACAACGTGACCAGCACCCCAACCAGTACATTTGTAGTGTAGCTCGTCCAGGTACATCTGTACTGTAGCTCGTCCAGGGGACCTGCGATACATTCCTCAAGACCAGTGAGCAGGGCAATTCCGATTTGCTGCTCCTGGAGCTCCTGGCGGATACTCGAGGCCAAAGCTCCTATAGCTGGGCCAAACGACCATGGAGATGGCACTAGCGGCCCCGGCTCCGACTTTCGAGCTGCTGTGGAGATGAGTGGTGTGTCGGAGGTCGCACATCGATTTCAATATCACCGTGGACAGTTGGGTGGGCACAGATCTGGACGGGAACGGCCAGTCCGTATCCCCCGCTAGGCCTGGAGCGGCGGCGACACTGGTCTCGGAATGGAGATGACGAGGCCTGGCTGGTACTTGGTGTCAAACCCCGGCTGGTGCACCGGCGTATGGCAGACGGCATATGGCGGTGGTGTTGACGGTGGACAATGACCTGGTGTTGATGGGCGCAGATCTTAGATGTCCATATTTTCTTCTTGTGGTTGACATTTCCGGATCTAGGAGTTGCAGATCCCAACCTGAAACTATAACAGGTGGCTCGTGGTGGCCTGCCGCCGGCAGGGGTGCTAGACCAGAAGTTAGCCCGCATGACCTGGGACGCCACTGTGGGGCGTTGGTTCTCCGGCCTTGTCTGCGAAATCCTAGATTTCTGATTTTGTTATTGCTGTATCTTTTTATTTTATTTTTCCAGAACAGTTTCTTACAGTTTGAGCTACATTTGGTCGGACCGTGACGGGAAGCGAATTGCGTGAAAGTGGAGCGAGCTTTCATTAGCCGCCGCCGGCAAGCAACTAGCGGTGGTGCTGCAACTCAGGCGAGGAGCTCCATGGATCCGAACAGGCATCACGACTTGGTACCTTCCCTGTGGGGCCGGTGCTGCCCGGAGCTGAAGCCGGGGATTGGTGGGTCTAGTGGCGCGGCGACGGAGGTGGAGCAGCCAGCTACGACAAGCAACGCCAAGGTGCAGCAAGACTGTCTGAGAAACAGTTCAACAGATTGGAAAAAATTGAAATTCTAATTTTTCTTATCTAGAACAGTTTTGGGTAGAATTTTTGTGATTTTGGTAGAGTTTTTGGTTAAGCGGGGAGGGTTTGTCACTTGATTGTGTTCAAACCTCTCAACGAGAGCACCATATGATGGACAGTCTACCCGGGGGGTGTCTTATCCGAGTGGTTTTTACAGAATAGCCTAGAGAGAAGTCAGAGCAAGCAAGTAGGAGAGAGAGGAGATTATTATTTATGAACTCGAGATGTTCTGATGTGGATCTGATCATTTACAAGGAGAAATGGACTGCTATTTATAACAGCAATAAATGCGATGGGAGTACACGTGTCAATAATCCAACAGCCGAGGGGTCACATCAATCAGGGTGGCACCGGCAGTGGCATGTTCACCGCATTGAATGCGGTGGGTGGATGTGACGTCGCATTAAATGCGGTGGTTGGCTGTCTCAAAAGGAAATCTTCGATGATTGAGTCCGTTTAGCCGAAGACTCCTCTCGTGGCCGAGGGCCCCGTGTGGCCGAAGGCTCTGTGTAGCCGAGGGCTTGGTTCAGCCGAAGGCTTTCTATGATGCCGAGGGCTCCACAAGCCAAAGGCTCTCGTTTTCTGCCGTTTTCTCTCAGTAGCTTCGCATGCCCAAAAAGGCTATTCTGTGAGTTTTGGGGCCTTCGGTCAAGGTGGCCGAAGGCACCCCAGTGTGTGTCTTGGACTTCCTTGAACTTGGGCCACTGTATTTGGGCCTCGGATGCTCCTTGGGCTTGCTGGGCCTGTGATAGGTTAGTAGGAGTCTGTGGGCCGGCGGTTCCTGGGCCATATACTCCATCACTATTACAAATGGAGTAGATCTACTTAAGATTTTCTATTTAATACTCTCATTGTCTCACAATATTTGATCAAATTAGTTTATTTTAATAAATAATAAATTTTAAAAAATGATTTTAGCTACGGAGTATTATGCTTGTATGAATATATTTAACAAATAACATTCTCATAGTTTTTTTATTTTTTAAAATAATTTCTTATTAAAAACTATCATCAGTCAAGTTTGACCACTATTGACCAAGAAAAGCCATGTAGGATTTTTTGTTCTACCGTTTCTCTCTAAGTGTGCGGTTGTGTTGCTTTGAGTTGATTGCTATATTTGATCTTGATTTCAGTAGGGTAGTTTAGTGTATTTTATGGTTCTTTGATTCATGTATGGTGTCAAGATCTTTTGTAGCTCCAGAAATAACTTGTTCTCCTTGGTTCAAATTTTCTAGTCGACTTGGGATTCATTTTTTACGAGGGCATCATTTTCTGCATGTTCTTTCAGCAAGGGCGGAGATTCAGAAGGAAAGCTGCCGCGACAAAGACCCAGTGATGGCTAGGGTGTTTTATCATCGCCAATCTCCTCATGCAGTGCTTTTGTTGTGGTTCGTCCGCAACAACAAACAGGTAGATAGAGAGAGGAGTATGAGTGGATGGAAGATTAGTACAAAGGGCCCGATCGAGGGTGCGGAGGAAGGTTGGGGTTTTGTTGGATAAGGTAGGAAAGAAAATGGTGATGACATATGTTTTCAATTTTCAGTCTCGCGCTCCTCTTGAACTACTTTCAAAAGAGAATGATAATGAGTGTAATACCAAAAGAGATTATGGTTTGTAAGGAATAAAAGGAGAACAATTATGCAGCAACTCACACTCCTCTTGAACTACTTCCGTTGCATAATGAGAATTGTGGAGAAGCACTAATTAGTATCTTAAACTTTAAGATTTTATGTCACCATTATATTTTCTTTAGTAGTTTTTTTTTTAGTTTGACTAGGTATGTTTTCATTGCTTTTGGGGTCTTTTGTGGGAGGAATCTGGATAATTTTCTTGGTGGAAGTTATTTGAAAACATTGGAATGGTGAATTAGGTGATATTTGTACTAACTTGATTGATATATGCTTATGTTTGCCCGCTTGGTAGTTAGCGAGTGAGTATGCTTTTTATGCGTGTGTGACTCTGTCTAATCGTAAGGCCTGTGATCCAGTCTATAATAGGTGTTTGAATACATGTTCTCATTTTCTCAAATTTTTAATATAATCCATTTATCATAAAATATATAGCATGAGTGAGTTCGTGAAATCGAAGGCTGAATATCAAACTGTTAAAAGTTGAACTGCAAAATACTTGAATTAAACTGAATCATTCTTTTTCGATTTCAATCGCGAACCTTACAAACGAAACATAAGTGCTTAACATTTATATTTAATACTCCCTTTATTTCAAAATACTTCAGCAAATTGAATTTTCTTAATTAGTAATAATAAATTTTGAACATCGATTTTAGCTATTATACTTGTGTGAATTTAATAACTTTCATACTCTTATGAAAATGTGTTTAACAAAAAACATTCACATAGAATTTTCTTGTTTTCAATAATTTCTTAATAAAAAATAGCATCGGTCAATTTGACCATCATTTGCCTGGAAAAGTCCTTATGACCTAGTCTTATGAGACACATTGATGGGTCCCAAGTGAGGTAAAAGTCTTGGGGGAGGGGTGAATAGACTTTTAAATCTTTTCATTTTTCAGCCCTTTTTCCTCTGAGAGAATGAGTTCCAATATCTTTTGGGAGATATTGAAACATGCAGCGGAAGTCTTGACCTCAAGAGTATGACACTTTATAGAAACAAAGGTTATGACCTTTTTGGTTGTGAGAGAGATGAGTTAAACAGGATGCAAATGTTCTTGCCAAGATCAACTGGCTCAAGAAGTAGGCTGTTGAATCCTTAAGGATCAGACTGCCAAATTTCTGGGAGCTGGTTGCTGAACCCCTCAGGAGCAGGCTGCTGATTTTGCTGCTTTATTAATGTTTGAGGCATAGAGAAGAACTATGACCTTGAACATTGTTTGTTTGTTTAGGATAGACAAAACACATAGATATGTAGAATTAGACCTATTGAAATATATCACTTTGATGAGCAGAAACAAGGAGTTGATTCACAGTGACCTGGGAGGTTCACTGGACAGTTTTAAGTGAGCAAGCTGTTTTGTTGTGAAGGTGAGTGAGTACTGAAGTGTATGTTAGGAGCAGAATGTAAAAGGGGACACAAGATGTATCCTGGTTCAGAGGTGGTGTAATCATCCTACATCAGGGGTGTGCACAAACCGGTTCAAACCGGAAAACCGGACTGGACCGGATTGAAGAAACCGGAACCGAACCGACCCGGATGATATCCGGTCCGGTTTTCGGTTTTCAAATATTGTAAAACCGGTTTCCGGTTAAAAACCGCATCGTTCCGGTTTGAACCAGATTAAACCGGTTTGCTTTAATTTTTTAATATATATTAATTAATAGTCTTAATATAAAATGGTTATAGAATAATAAAATTAATGATAGTTATAAAAACATAAATAGTAATCTTTTCAATATGTAGCATATATTTTCGTAATGTTTATTAATTTATATATTATTAATTTTTTGATAATAGAATTAACTAATATTTACTATTCTATCCTAAAATTACTTCAATCTTTACTAATATTTACTATTCTATCCCATTTTTATTAAACCAATTATTTGTATTTTTTAGTATATTAAATTAATAATTTAGAAACCGGTTCTTCCGGTCCGGTTCCGGTTTTAAACCGGTAAAACCGGTCCGGTTCCGGATCAAAATCGGAATATATCCGGTCCGGTTTTCGGTTTCCATTTTCTTACAAATCCGGTTCCGGTTCCGGTCCGGTTTTCAACCGGTGCACACCCCTAGTCCTAACCTATTTCAGATAGATTTCCACTAAATGAATATCCCATTACATTTAGTGCCCAATTTACCCTTGGCACATGCGTAGATTGTGAGGTTTTTCACAAGGAATTTCAAACTTCTCAGTCCTCCCAAGGGTTTTCACTAATGTCATTGACTTGCCAAGAGTTACTCATGTCCTTGTCCTTTCTCACCTTCTTGATCTGAACACAAAGCCCTCCAGAATGTCTAACACTAGTCTAGTTTACATGGGTGTAAATCTAAACTACCAACTAATCTAAGCTCTATAGGTTTGTATGAATTGTAGCTAATCTAAGAGCATTAGATGAGTGGGGTGGTAGCCGAAGTAGTGAAGGAGAATCAGCTGGCTGGATGTGAGCATGTAAAACTTGATTCCCTTCTATTCCACTTGGCTCCTCTCAGTTTACCACACTTGGTCTTCCCACACTCCTTCTGTATTTATAGACTGATCACTGAGTCTCCACCGTTGACTGAGGAAATCAATCTTGACCGTTGCTTGATCTACTTGCTTTGTTCCACTTGACTGAGGAGAGCATGGTTGGTCTTTGTCTTCTTGTGACACGGATCAATATCTTCACTTCAACTTGTTTCTTCATTTCAATACAGAGATAAAGATGAATTATCTTTATTTCTTTTGTGCGTAGAAACTTAGTATAAAAGATGAGTGATGTTTCAATGCTTCCTTACAAATAACAAATACTTGCTTTTAGTAAAATAAATTCATAAGAAATTTATAATGTGATAAAAATCTCTTATGAATTTACTTTCAATCAATTTGTTATTTTGACTGCAAGTTGGTCTCTTGTTTTAATTGTTTTTGTGCTAAGAGAAGAGTGAGTTTGATTTCTGATGCCTTAATTGAGAAAACAATGATTTCAGCTGGCTGCCAGAAAATCAGTAGGCTGCTGAAATTTTGTTTTTTCAGTTGACTTCCTTTTCAATGAATACGAGTTAACTCTTTTTCGTACCTTTTCTATTTTATTCTTTTCTTTTTGTTTTATGATGCATTTCTTCTCTTTTAGTACTCTTTGCTTTTTATGAGTACTTAATCACTAATGAATAATGATAGCACATTACAGTAAACGGAATGGAACAAGTACAAGAGAATCTAGTCTAATACAGGGATAACAAAAAGGGGTGACATCATCAAAACAATACATATTAATCATCAAAATCTAGGGGATCTAACAATTTCTCTCTTTTTGATGATGCCAAAAACTAGAATCAAAACAATTTTAAAGAAGCAAAAGCAACATTAAAAGTCCTAGTGTTTGATTCTATTCCCCCCCCTTTGGCAGCAACAAACACCTACTCCGGGTTCCTTTTGCTACCATGATGTTGTGAATTTTGTCATGGAAGGCTTTGTTGATGCTTTCGATTGAGAGAGAGTTCTCAATACTGTTTGATTTTAGTCATCCCAGAGCAAACTCTTCTTCTTCAGTCATCCCCGGTGCATTGATGAGAAGGTTTTCAAGAGGGGATGTTCTTCATGCCCTCCATCCAAGCAGTCTCAGACGTTCTTTAAGAAGAAGCTCCTTTTCTGCTTCATACATGATTCATGACTCAACATCAGCGAAGCATTCAATGTGAGTAGGAGTAGGGGTTATCTGGTGTTGTGGAGGTGCAAGAGTAAGTTCAAGAGATAAGTGGTGGGATGAAGATTTCTTCATGTTTCAGGAGTGATGGATAGGGCTGGTTTTTCGAAGAAGATGAAAGGGTGATTTGTAGCTTAAGTGAAGTTTTCGATCAAGGTTGGAAGGATATTTATATTACTTAGCATGCAACTTTTCATCTTTTAATTACTTTTGGGTAGTAACCGAAGAGTTATTGTCATTAATGTTCTTGCGATTGTTTTTCTTTTCAAGGCTAAAAGCATCTTTTAACAAGAGAGTGAGAAAACAATGTTAGAGAAACTCACTGGTCTTTATTAATGAGATTGCCTTTTGAGATCTTTAAGAAATTGATCCAGTTGCTTCGACCACCATGTGTCAATTTTGCATGTTGCATGTTGTTATAAATTCCTCTTGTTGATTTGATCTTCTCTTAGGCTCATCAATGTAACACCTTATCAGCATGCATTTGATGTAATTAAGATAGTTTCTTTCTGCATGGCTGAATTCGTACAAGTACTCCATATTTTTCAGGAATTTTCTGATCAATTTTGTTCTGTTGTTAGAGCAATATCTGTGATAATTATTGAATATGATATCCAAAGATATTCCCATATTTCAAATAGCCCGATCTTTGAAAATTTTCATGTTCTTTGAAATATATGAAATATTCCAAAATGAATAAAACTGTGAGCTGGCTTGTTGGTGTTATTTCAGCAGGCAATTGATTTTTCTGGAATTGAAAGTTAGCTGAAATTTTCAGCTTGCCGCTTTCCTGCTGAAATCATCCTTCTTCTTTTACTTCTTCCTAGAGTTTCTGGTGACTTGTAGCATGATTCCTTGATTCAATTAACCTCCCTTTTGAACGGCCTCCTTCTGTTATCCAGAAAGTTGACCAATCTCTGTCATAATGATTTGTTTTTATTGAACAAATCCCATCTGATCCTCAGAGCTAGCCAAGTCATCTGGTTTATGGACTTTGTCAATTGGAGTAGGTTAGTTGCACCTGAAGCCTAGAAACTCTTGAAAGATTTTGTAGCATTTAACAAACCATTCTTTGAAGCTTAGAATTTTGGTTGATAATTTGCTAAAGCTTTCTTTCATACTCATCCTTTAATATGAAGAATTCTCAATCTTTCATTTTGATTGTATCCACTTGAAGCATTTGAATATTCCCCTGTGTTGATGATTAAGTCCTTTTGACTTGGTACTAAGAAATGGACATTCTTAGGACACTGTTATGAGCAAGAAGCTTTTTAATAGAGTGCTCCTAAATTAGGTCATTACTAGTTTAGTAGGTAGCTCCTATTTTTACTAGGACGCTGCTTGGAAGCACAGTGCTCCCAAGTAAAAATAGGACTCTAAAAGACAACCTAACAAATAGATTTTATCTAATTCTTGT